GTGTGTGTGTGTGTGTGTGTGTGTGTGTGTGTGTGTGTGTGTGTGTGCGCGCGGTGTGCATGCATCATCAAAACGCACGCTTCAAAAATCAATAAATCACATAATATGGCCACAAAATACGCATCCAAATCTAACAACATCAATGCACCACTGTTGAGCAAATCGAATGAGAGAAGATAAAATACACACACGCATACACTCAATTTAGCCGAAAAATCGTTTTCTCTCTGAATTTCGTTTATTGCACATTGCCATCAATCTGTAAAACGTTTAACTGTCGTGCCATACGCGACGGCTGAATAAAGAGAGGAGGCATAGATCTAAAGAGAATAAAAAATATATAGAATCAAAGGTGAGAAACAATGTGAATGCGCACGCACAATGCGAAAGAAAATGCGGAGAAGATGGGAAAAAAATGTAGAAGCAAAAACTAAAAGAACAAATGATTTAATATACGTAACATACGCACTAATGAAGTTCAATTACTAGAAAGCGATAGAGTGCGAAAGCATCACACACACACACACATGAGCCGAATCAAACTGAACCGCGCAGTATAGGCGGACGAGTAATTTGAATGATTAAAAACATATTAATAGGCCTTCATCAGACTTGATATAACGGTACCGATCGACTTTTGTTTATGTAACGCAAATATGGAGCCGATCAAATGGTCAGTTTCCTGGTTAAAAGACAAAGCCGCAATGGATGAACGGGGCATTTTTTTTGTTGGCCAAAAGGCTAAATCACTGAAAAAGTCATACGATCATATGTATGGTCCGTTGATATGTGAGGCCTATGAAAATGAGGACAATATACCTAGAGTGAAGTACACTGTACATGTGCATATAAATATGCCATCCGAATCCTTTGGTAATATGCAACCTGTGCTTCTCTCCCATAAGAACCAATGTATTTGACGTGACAGTGAATAGCGGTAGCGCCTAAATAGGATCTGCGGCAACTTAAGGAACTATCAATACTTCTTGTTGTTGCGAAATTCATGACAACGACAACAACAAGTATTGATAGTTCTTAAAAATTCCGCAAATTGCGAATAGGCGCCACCGCTATCTCGCGCCGGTCAAAAGCACAGTTTGGTAATATGTAACTTTTCAATTGAGCTGCCAAATTTTCGTTGATTACCACTAACAATTTGAATTATCCAATAATTCACACTTATTATATACACACTGATAGTGAAAAAAAAGAGTGACATGTTTTGTTGTCCTATGCTCTTAAGCGCCAATCGGAAGTACAATTGGCTCAACGCAGAAAAAAAAAATAATTGTCCCAAACGGCCAGCAATTTTA